ACGCGACAAGATGTAGCGATAAGAACTAATGATTTGTTAAAAGCAGCGAAGCCAATGGGTCTAGAAGTGAATCAGGATAAAACCAAATATTTAGTCATGACTAGGGGAACAAGGGATATCTCGGACCTAGTAGTAGAAAACTATACCTTCCAACAAGTGGAAAACTTCAAATATCTTGGGGCAAACATAAATCAATACAATAACATGCATAATGAAATTAAAATTAGGATATCAGCCGCTAATAAGGGTTATTACGCTTTGGAAAAATTKTTCAAGTCAAAGTTCCTCTCTAGACTATCAAAGGAACGCCTGTTCTTAAGTTTCCTACGGCCAGTTCTAACATTTGCATGTGAAACATGGTCGACTACTAWAGGAGATGAGGAAAAAATGGCTTGCTTCGAAAGAAGAGTTCTTAGAAGGATTTATGGACCTATACTAGAAAATGAAATGTACAGAAGAAGAACCAATAGGGAAGTACAACAAATTTATCAAAAACCTGGTATCAACGCGTACCTTATGAGCAAACGAATTGAGTGGGCAGGCCATGTATGGAGGTCAAATGGTATCCTAAAGAAAGCTCTGGAAGGAAAAATCAATGGAAAAAGACCTAGGGGTCGCCCCAGACAGCGCTGGATAGACAGAGTTAAGGAGGATATAGACAAGTGCGCCCAGGGATTGACTTTAGAGGATAGTGTTGACAGAGATAGTTGGAGAAAAGTAGTAGAGGCAGCGAAAGTCCTCCAAAGACAGTAAAAGCTGAAGAAGAAGAAGAAGATAACTGTCGCGCCACAAGGGCCGTATAATATTATTTTATAACTTCATCATTTTATATTTTCATTGTGCCATAAGGGCTATACATATTTACCATGTTCTGTCGTGCCACAAGGGCCGTGCATTATATATATTTGTAATAGCTACTGCAAACTTGCAAGGTATTATATTTGTTTGGTCATAAGGACCGCAGATTAATTTGTACCAATTGTTTTATATATTATATTTTTCTACTCTGTTGGACCAGAAGGGCCACAATAATACAATATATTATACGAATACACTGTTATAGCCATAAGGGCTTTGATTTATTTATTATATTACATTTTTTATACAAGTATTTAATTTGTGTATTATACAGCAATTAATTATTTACCTGAACGTGTTACCATTTTATTATCAATTATTTGTAAGCACACACGACACACCCATACATATTATACACCCTCACACATTCACCACACACTAGTACTCTCTGGTCTTGCTCGGCGACCCCGTCCACTT